TTTGATTTGAAACTGTCTCATTGCTATTTGTTTATCAATAAAATTATGGGAAAAAATAATAGTGATAAAAAAGGATGGGTTGTATTCATGGACAACAAAAATAGCGAACAGAAATTAGATCTGAGGAAGTCTAGCTGTTGGACTTATTTCACATTTAAGTCAGTTTGCAAGCAGAAACCCTGAAACTATACCAATGATTTGGAGGCAGATTTATTTACATTGATGGGCAATGATCAGGATCACCCAGAATATCAGACCCCCATCTCTGGTGGATTGGGGCTCATGTGAGACAAGCAAGCAGGAAGTACAGAGGCAGAATCGCTGGTCAATTGGTGTCTGGTTTATTTAATATGCATCACAGTGACGAAGTATATATCACCATGGCCAGCCAATTCTAGGAGACAGAAGCAACACATCTGGAATATTAAGTATTACCTGGGCAAGTAACAAGGTGAAGTATACTGGTGTGTGTGTGTGTGTGTGTGTGTATAGCACTTTTTGCTACAAGTTAATATGAATGAACTAAAGGGAATCATATCTAAAGAATCAAAGTATAAGTACCTTTTATCAAGCAGAATACCAACTAAGATCCAATTCCTAGTACTGAAGAAAGCCAAACGAAAAACCAGACCCTCAAAAACCAATTCTATCAATATACAAACACTAGATTTCTAAGAGGTGGGGAGAGAGTGGCAAAGACAAATAGACAGGTGTTTTGTGCTATTGGGAATTGGAACTCATGACCTCAAAGATACCATTTTGAAAGTAAAAAGAACAGATTCATATACAAAGGATTCTTAACAAGACATCTTACCTCTCATGAGAAATTATGCACACAAGAGAGCAGTGGGATTGCATATTTAAAGTGCTGAAAGACTGTCAACTAAGAATTCAATGTCCTGTAAAACTATTCCTCAAAATATGGAGAAAAAGAATCAAGAGATAGACACTGAAGTAGCTCTCTGTCACTGAGTTTCCTTCATAAGAAACTAATGGACTCCTTCAGGCTAAAAGGAAGGGAGACTTGATGGTAACTTAGACCTAAATGAAGAAACCAAGAGCACTGACACAAGTAATCTCAAAGGTGAATATGAAATATAACTGTTTTTCACTTATAACCCTTTTCTTCTCATATCTGATGTAGAAGACAACTCATTAGAGCAGTGAATGTTTTTGAACTGTGTATAAAGATGTAATAATGTATGAGAATAAAAGAGGGGGTGAGGAACAAGCTAACACTGGAGCAAAGTTTTTGTAGATAACTGAAATCGAACTGGTATTAATCTGGACTAGATTGTTTTCGGTATAATATTAACTGTAATTCCTAAGACAACTGCTAAGAAAGCAACTCAAAAACACAATGAAAGCACCAAGAGATTAAAATACTCTAGAAAATACCTATTCAACATAAAAGATGGCAATAATGGGAGATGTAAAACAGAAAACAAAGGGCAAAATTACAGAAGTCCGTCTTCTTAGTAATTACATTAAACATAAATGAAATATTTCCAGTCAAAGGGCAGAACTGACTTAACTATGGTCCAATGATAAGCTCATATAGATGAGATATGCTTTACATTCAAAGAAACAAATGGTTTGAGATAAAACAGCTTTTACATTTCATATCAAGGGTAGGTAGGAAGGGAAAAGAGGACATGTGGGAACATACTCATTATTTTACCTTTGTTATTACCTACCTCTTTTGTCTTTCTGTTCTTTTTCATCTAGATCCTGAGAGAATAAAGATGTAGGCCTACAATACTGCTTACCTAGCAATGACAGTGATATGTTTTGTGACATGGATTGTTTGGCAACCTTTCATAGCACCACCATCATAGAATGCACCTACAAAAACCTAGATGCTCAACACTACTTCTTCATGCAACCAAGAAACGTGGGAGACTGAGGTGGATGAGGCTGGTGCTGTGTACCACAGCTTGGAGTTTCTGGCTAAGCCCTTTTTAAATAAGTAGGAATATATCCATAATGTTGATGAAAAGTACAGTGCAGTAAGTATGCCTGAGACTCGAGAGCCAGCCTGATTGCTAGAGGGAAAAGAGGGCTCAGACTAAGGTCAATGATTTCAACTACTTCACATCAAAGCTTCAGAGTAATTGCAAGATGGTGAATTCACTCATGTGCCAGGAGGGCGACAGGGCACAGAAACTGCATTCAGATCTTCCCGTATCTTGACCTATGTATCTTTTCTTTTGGTTAATGCAAGACTATGTTCTTTATAATAGGACTGCATTTTAAGCACAGTACTTTCCTCAGTTCTATGAGTCATATTAGTGAATTTCAAATAAAAAAAAATATTAGTGAGAATTTCTGACTTTGCAGTCAGTTGGTTCAAAGTTGAAGCAAGTCGCTTGGCAACTCATTACACTTATGGATCGGTGTCTGTAGTGGAGCAGCCATGTTGTGGTGAGCCTTTAGCCTGTACAGTCTGACACTAACTCCCTGGTGATCAGACAGCAGCAGGTTTTAGACTGATCAGGGTTGGTGATAGGACCGACAACCCTCTAACTCTGTCTTTAGGTGTCTATCATTTTTAATAAAAATGAAAAACCCAAAATTTCTAAAGATTTAGAGTTAATGAGTTAGCACAGAGAGGTGCATCTGCAATAGTCTGCTGCATATAGCTTTGCCTGTCAGCCAATTTTATTCTTTTTTTTTTTTTTTTTTTTTTTTTTTTGCGGAACCGGGGATTGAACTCAGGTCCTTGCACTTGCCAGGAAAGTGCTTATTCCACTGAGCCATCTCCCCGGCCCCCAGCCAATTTTAAAATGAAATGTATATAACACAAATCTCTTCACGGAATTTTAAAGAATTTGTTCCTCTGCTGTGCTTAAGGCAACCACAGTCCATCTTTGATAGGCATATTTTTCAAAAAGGTCTATCGACATAGGAAAAGTACTGGACCAACCCATAGATTTTAACTTATATAATAGTTATGGATGTTCTCATGGAGTTTCAGAAAAAACAGTAACATTTAAAATTACTTAACAGCCAACCTGTTTCCAAGGAATTCTTCACTGCAAAACATACAACTGCCACGAAAACTAGTATCATTCCGTTCTTGCTGCTGTTGTTCTAGAATTTCTTTCTGTAAAGCAGAAATAGATTTATGATATTGTCTTTCATAAACACACAATGAATGGCAAATGTAATTTGAAAAGGAGGCAGCTGGAACAGAAGCACAAAGGGAATGGCATATGGAAACTGGTAGCATCTCATATTTCTCCATTCCTGCCTTTGCACCAAGACTCTATCACTACACTCCTATGACACACTCATTCCGTAGTGAGGCAGGAAATCTCAAGTCAGCAGGTCTTATCATCTTCCTTCTGTCTTCTCAGTTGTCTCTCACCAACAGCTTCCTCTAAACACAGTAATGCGGCTCTGACGTGCCCCTTTCTCTAATCAACTCAAATAATTTAAAATATTTTCTGATTATTCCCACGCTAATCAGGGTGGTTCTATACATTATGTTCTTTGAGATAATTTTATTTCTCTTTGCCTTTTCACTCTTAAAGAGCTTTACTACTGGTCAAGATCCAACTTGATTTTCTTTTCTGACTATAAACTCAATAAAACTGAGCAGAGCTGGAGTTGGGATCTCACTTATAACTGATACAGTGTATAGCATCTTTAATACTTGGATTTTCACTTATAAGATAAAAGAGTATTATCTCATAGCACTTTATATTATTAAGTAATCTGTGTAGAGTTTAGCTGTATATAGGTTATTAAATGTTGCATATTACTACTCCCTAAGAATTCTTTTTGCCTAGTAGAACTAGTTAAGTGCTGCTTCTTTTGCCTTCTCAAAGGAAATGAAGTTTTTAAGTTAAAAAAATCTTTATGCTGTTCCAATATTACATCTTCATACTACTCTAGTTTCTCTTATAACGTGGAGCTCAAAATACAAACTTGAGAAAAATGTACTGCTGATTTCATAATGTCTGTAGCACAGCATAAAATGAGCTAGTGTCCAGAATGTTAATATATATCCTATGTGGAATTTCTGGGACTGTATCACAAAACATCTAGTGATATTTACCTATTCAAGAAAAAAATGAAGAGGCTATCACAGTGAAAATCAATTAAATAAAACTTACTTTCTTCCAGGATGGTAAATTAGATCTCAGACTTAGCTTTTCCTGTAAACGACTTATAAAACCACTTGCTTTGTATATTTTGTTTTTTCAGGTATTGGATAAGCGCACAGGGCTGTGATCCTGGAGAGAAAAGGTTTCTGCTGTAGAATATTTTCCAAAGTACAGCAAAGCCAAGTTGTACCCAAATGCAGAGTAGTCACTCTACTGGGAAGAGGAAAAAGAATTCAGGATGGTACAATGGGTGGAGCTGTGGTCCTAGGAGCTGTAAGGAAGAGTGCTGCAGAGAAGGAGCTCAGCAACTGTGTACTGTATCTTCTAGTATCATGCCCAACACTCAGCTACACTCAGAGAGGAGTTTCTGGGGACTATAAAGCTGAAATGGAGACACTAGACGTTGCAGCGCTAGGATATACTGGAATTCTGGCCAGCAGAAAGGAAGGCCCAGTTCAATACTTTAGAAACATAGCAAATATAAAAGAACACTTCAGTTCTCTAAGGTTTTATGGTGGTAGCAAGTGGCTAGATAAAAAGGGGCTGGGAATGTAGCTCATTTTGAAGGTCCTGGGTGTAATTCCTACTGTCACCAAAATAAACAGTAACAACGCCCCCCCCCATGGAACAAACAAAACAATTCTGTCTTACATTTCTCAAGTTCATGATGATATAACATTAATTTTAACCAAAGAAAAATCTTAACATCTTGATTTTGATTCAGTACAAATAATAAATGATTTTATGACACCAGAGAGATACTAAGGTGTTTAAGGTTTTTTTTTCAAAACATTTTTATTAGTACATATTTATAGAACATAATGATTACATTCATTGTGGGGAATTTAACTGTCAAAGTTGACAGTTTATTAGCTGACCCTGAATTGTACAACCTAAATAGGTAAAGTGCTTAATCTTAGGCAAATGTTGAATACATCATGGTAATGTAGAGGCAGAATGGGACAGTCATGTAACAAAGTAAGAAGGTGCTAGGTTTGCAAGGAAACTATGCTGTTCCTTCGCTCAGGTCCTGCAGCAACTCACACACAGTGATGAGAGGATCCTGTGGATTCTCAGCTGGGTTATCTATATTAGCTGCAGCCACAGTGAGAGACTACAGTTGAGAATACGCGAGTTCTCCTTGGCCTTGCATATTCTGTACAACTACAATTTTTATCAAGTATTTTCTCAAGACTATACTTTGCCCAATTTCCACCCTTTCCCCCTCCTTTTAAGAAATGGGGTCTCAATGTTATTCAGTCTGGCCTTGAACCCCTGAGCTCAAACAATTCTCTTGCCTCAGCCCCCTGGATAGCTGAGACTATAGGTGCACACCATGTGCCTGGGACCACTCAAACTCTTTTACGTCCTTTCCAGATCTTTCTACAATGGAAGTTACTTAAACCAATTTGTTACTCTACACTGTATTACTTTTCTCAATTTATTATCATCAATGCAAGCGAGGGCCCAATTATTGGGAAAACCAGACATGATGGTACAGTATTTCATCATAATTGCTTTTCGGATCCATGTTTAGAGCTTCAACATTTTGTCCTATTTGTCTTTTTGGTTACAATAATGCAAGTGTCCTGCCTAGTCCTTGGCTATTTTCCCAGTATCTCTCCATAACATAGTCTATTTCTACTTGCCACATCTAACCTGCCTCCAACTACTCCAGTAACCAGTACCTTGAGCACTAGCTTATTAGAACATCTGTGCTGGAAGTGACCTCATGAATATTATCTACTAACTACTTGTTAAGAGATGTTACAGTCGCTTGTGTAAAGCTACCCAGTTACTTGGTGCTAAGGCTGGTGGTAGTTTCACTGCATATATGCCTTTTGCCTTCAAAGGTACCACTGTGGCACATGTAAATACAGAGCTTATAACAATGATCTTCCTACACAGTGAAAAAATAAGCTCAGAATCCAGGGGACAGAGATCCTGAGAGGCAGAGTAGTAGTAAAATCTTTCTACTAAACAATTACACAAAAGTTTCACCAAAATGCATCAAATATGAATGAAGACTGCAGCATTTGGAACTTTAGAACATACTGAAATAAGAGAATTAAGATATATGAAAATATAATTATGCTTTATTTCTCATTTAATTTTGGAAAAGTATTCTACATAAAGATATTTTTCTAGATGATAGAAATTTTAATTTGGCATGTAAGGGTTAAGTTTTGCACAAGATGGTTTCCTGGGTCCCTCCATGTTTCTCTGCATTCCAAATTCATGTTGCAATTTAACTTGTTCTACATGATATATGGTTCTTGCTAGGAACAGTTACTATTATATTGCATTGCAATGCAAATATATTTTACTTTTAGGATCTCTTTTCTTGTCTAAACGCTTGTGCTTTCCTTATTTGATTTTGTGCTCTTGTTGGCCAGCTATATTTATTTCCTTTTATTCACTGAAGCTTTTCATCATTTTAGCAAGTTCACTTCTACAGCTAACAAGTGGCCTCCCCCATCATTATCTCATTCCAATTTTCTATCCTCTACTTAGACCCTCTGTTTTTCCTCTGACCCTGGAACAAAACCACTACAGGGACTTTCAAACACTACTAAAGAAAAACAAAACAAAACAAAACAAATACAATTTTGCGAGTAAAAATAAATCAAAGTAAGTCAAAGCTGGGCTTGGTGGTACACGCTTGTAATCTTATCAGTCTGGGAGTCTGAGGCAGGAGGATCACAAGCTTCTACCTCAGTTGGGCAATTTAGTAACTTAGTGAGAACTAAGTCTGAAAATGAACAATTAAAATCATGCCAGGGAATTAACCCAGCATGAAAGCTGTAATTCAATCCTCAGTACAAAAAATTGGTTTTTTGTACTTGAGAAACAGCAGCTCCTAGCTTCTTCCTTGGATGGACTTCATGGCAATTACTATCATGTGGTAGGGACGATTTTCCCCTTCTATGTTTTCTGCAAAGTGAATCTCCTGAAGTTATCAGGTAAGATGAATTTATAGGAAAGATTCCCTTGCATGTACACAAAGAAATATGCTTCTCTGATGAATGCCCAGAGGGATAGAAGACAAATCTGATTTTACATGGACCTTTAAAGAAGTACTCTATAGGCAACTGGGGAGCACATATATCTGGAAGGGCAACACGGGAGCTGGTACTCAACAAAGCCGGAAGTAACACAGTAATAGTTATTTTCAAGGGACTAAAGCCCACAATCTTTATTTTAGTACAAAGCTGACAATGCCTAATACCTGATCCTAACCTAGGTTTTTAAAATTCTTTCGCATTAAAAAAATTCTTTCACATTGCTTCCCTATGTAACTATGTTATAGGTAAAGCAAGAGTACATACTATAATTTGTGTATTATTCTTAACAGCAGTCATGAACTACCTATTATGGTTTCTAAGGCCACTAGATGGCTTCAAGTAATTCTTTCATCATGTGCCCAGCTTTGCTCATCAGAGTTCCTTATCCTTATCCTTCAAAGTTCACTTCAAATGTCCTACCTTTATAATGAATGGAAAAAACAATCAGGCCCTTTCTGAGCAAACAGCACTGATTGGATTGGTCATCATTCTTCCCTAGCATTCAGTTTCTGGTGATCTCCAAATTGCTCACAAGACTTCTTCTTTTAGTGACTTATAGCATCAAGTGGCATCTAAAATACTTGGTCCTCAGGAAAGCTGTGTCGCAGCACTCTGCAGGGTTAGAGAATGAGCTCCTTTATGCCCTTCACACACAGTACATCAGAGGAGGTTCCCAATACACGCACAACTCTATTTATACCCCGGGGACACACACATTTCATATCCTGAATATTAAAATGGCCTTCTGAAGGGAGAAGATTTGTAACACTTGACTGTCCCTTTCTGATGCAAAGTTAGCACTTATTACATAATTCATACGTAACCTACATGAAGCTTCCTGTAACAAATGTATATTTGGTTAAACAAAAGATAACAGCTTGCTATAGTACATGTAAAATCCTTTAAGAAAAGGGATTTAGGGCTGGTGA